GGTGGTGGAGGCGAGGTAGAGGCGTGGAGAAACAAACCGGCGGCGGTGCTGGCGTGCGCGCGTGTTTTCCGCCGCCATTACTGGCGCCACTGTAGCGTCACCGTGCGGCCGCGCATGCGCGGCATGCGCACACGCCCGATGCGCATCCGTTCTCGCGACGCATCCAGATTCAATCGTGCGCCGACAGCGCGACAAGTAGCATCTCAAATTTCTTGTCCTCTCTTGTTCAGTGTTAATCGACCTTTTAATAGAAATTACCCTCGTCCTACGGTCCACGAAAATGTATCTTTCGATCACCTTTGTATCAGTGTAGTTTGTTTACGTTTAACCGTACTATATTCAGTTTTGTGCTCACTTCTTTGTACGAAACTGTCTTCGTTGACAGTTTAATGACTTTTATTCGATTTTCATTTGTACAATTATGTACTTTTTCTTTCGATTAGCTTTAAAATCTTCTATGTGTTTATTTTATGTGAATTAATTTTGTAAAGATTATGAATTTTATTCGTATTATCCGACAAACTACTCTTTGTAGCTGGGAATCGTATTTTTCAAAATTGTTAGCTAAAATCGATGAGGAATGTATGTGGAATTGTAAAGTTTGTGTTAAAATAGTTGCTTATATTGATTTTTAGCAAGAATAAAACAAACTAACATATAGAAAGTATAAAATGGTAGGAAATGTCAATGACAATAGTTGTTTAATATATCTAAAACAATAGTACGATATCGATCTTTAGAAACGATACGGCGTTAAAAATAAGCACATTTTATATTTGTGTTTTTTGCTGCTAGGTTGCATACGGGAGATACAGTATTAACCTTCACATGAGTAATTATTATATTAAATATTAAACGAGAATATGAGTAACTTATAACCACGAAGTAAAGTGAAATAACTTTTGAATAAGCCAATAATGTTGTGAATAGATTAACAGCCTTAAATATAAAAAAATAGAAAAAGTCAAGATATTTTAAATATTGAATAAGACTTAATAACATTAGTGAAACACGAGGTCATAATAAAATAAACCGTTTGTAGCAGCTTATCACAACAATATAAATCTACGATTAGTGCAATTTGTTAATTTGTTATATTGTTCTTTATCTGTGTTAAAGTTTACGAATTTTATGTTTGACTTAACTTATTAATGGTATTAGTGCAGCATGTTACTTTTAGCAAGCTTATATTTCACAAATTTTCAAAGTATATGTTAATACAGGCAAAACACACTTGTACTAGTTATTTTAACATACTAGATACATCGTTAATAAATAAATATTTAATGAAAAAGTGATACAATTAATTTACAAGAAGAGTGACAAATATTTTGTTAATAAACTGATGGTGTATTAAACATTCTTTAAAATTATTTCAATTTTTCATGTTCGAAATTTTGAAACTAACAATTTTATTATTATATAAATGATATTTCTATATAGTGGTACTTTTACTGACAAATTTACGAATAAAAAAGTTTTAAATGATTAATCCACGTAATTTATTAAATACATTAATATAATGTTAATCATTTAAGCTTTTTTATTTAAGTAACAACAAGAGTATGTTACTTCTTTTATACTTCATTTCTTTCTTTTACCGAACTTATCATCTTCATCTTATAAGTGAATATCAAAGAAAATGCTGTTTAAATAAGTTCGGATTTGGCCATATAATCATAATCACGAAAATAACAATATGCTGCAAAAATTATTTATGCTTTTACATTTCTTATGTCAGCATAATAATAAATCCTTTATATACACGATAATTATGTATATGTGTAAGTGTAGTTCAGTATTTTAATATGTTATTAGTACACAAAATGTAAATCCTAGGCAAGTTATTGTATTTTTTAAATAACTGACAACTTGAAATTAAACGATTAGATAAATTGTTAAATGATTAGATAAATACTACAATAATTTACATCATTATAAAGACCAATAGCATAATTATAAATGTACCAATAAAAAATAAAGTTAATATCATAACAGTGAAAAATTCTTTAAGCAAGTAACTCGCATGGTATTTCTAAAATGTGGAAAAAGACGAAGCGTGCTTCCCTCTATTGTAGAAAAGTTGAAAAAAGTGTTGTTAATCAAAAGACTTCTGTCGATAACAACATTATCCATCGCATAGACGATAATGTAGATTTCTATCTCGCAGTTCAAGAGCTATGTGGTTTTATCATTTTCGTATCGGATGCAACATTATCGGTTCAGATTAAAATATGCCAATAGCGCTTATGAAACAGTAAGATTTGTTAGTGAGTATAGCGATAATAATATTTCTAATATGTGAGGGGTGATATTAATAAAAATCAAGTTTTTAAAAGCAATTCTTTTTAAATTAAACTGTCGTTTACATCCGATAGTTCCTCCATTATTTAAAGTCTGTCGAACACAGAAAAGGACAACGAATCAAAGAAACCACCAAATATTAACAAACAGTAATACGGTGGGACAATCCCAATACAAGAATTGACATTTTTATAAAGTTATATCAATTTATATTTTATCATATAAAGGAAATTATAAAAAAAGGACATCACAAAAGTTATAAATAATATGTACAAAACTGTTTTATAAATATATAAAATTGACAGTTTTTGTGATTTTTCATCAATTTATAAGATATTCTATGTCAGTCTTCATCTAAATCTGTGATAGGTAGCCCAGCGCATTCGCTATGTTTTACTCCAAAGGAATACATAGGTGCTCGTCTTCCAGTATTATATTGAGGATATTGTAGCCGTGGATCTATATCTGTATCTCTTGTTCGATGTCTCCATTTTAAGCTATATGCTGGAGAACTACGTTTTACAAGATCAGTTCTTGTAGCTCCATAACCTGCAGGACCTGGACCAATCTTTTCTTGGCGTATTTCATGATAACCACCTCTATAATATTAAATTAGAATTGATTTTTAACTTTAAATTTGTAATCACTTTTACTTTCTTTGTTCATTTAGTAACAAATATTAATTTAAAAGTATTTATAAATAATTAAAATTATCTATAAATATTAGTTTCTATGTACTTAACATCTTTACACTTATATATAAACATACTTTTATTAGCTCTTGTATTGATTGTTTACTTCATGTACATAACTATAACTATTTGTACCCAATATGTAATTGAGTTGTTTAGATCTATATTTATAATATAATATCCCTATTAAAACAAAATAAATTTTATTTAAAACACGTTTTCTCAGTAAAGAATCATTTAGTAGGTGTTTAGAAGCAATGTATATGATTAGAAAGTATCTCCTTCAGCTTTTTATAGAACTACTACTTATTAAACAACTATTCAGTATCTACTGTACTTATACTGAATAATTAAAATAATAAATGAATTACAAAATTATTAAGATGTACGAGGTGCGATCATTAAGTTCCGGGATTGTGTCTGCTGTGACCAAACGGATCACACGATTGACATGCGCTCGCAGAATATATGAATAACAATCTTCGAGACATATGACATGAAGTTTGAAAGCGGTATCTTCATTGAATCCTGTGTTATACAAGTTTATGGTAGCATACGCACGCTCTCCTTTGCGAAATCGCGATGGACTCTAAATTAGAACTAAGGGACATAAGAAAAAAAAAAAACATGGAACATAGTCGTCCTTCCTCACCCTCCGTATTTACCACATTTGGAACCCTATGATTTCTTTTTGTTTCCCAAAATGATATTAAAGCTCAAGGGTCGCCGATTTGATACGGTGGACGTAATTCAACGCGAATCGCAGCAGGTGCTTGACACGCTTCAACAAGAAGATTTCTAGGAAACTTTCCAAAAATGGCATCTGGGATCGGTGCATAGCTGCCCAAGGGTAGTACTTTGAAGGGGATAGTAGCCAAATTTGAAATAAGTAACTTTATCTGCATATACGGGGCCAGTCCCGGAACTTAATGATCGCACCTCGTACCATAATTTATAATTAGTAATAAGCAGAATAGAATCTCGCATATTATAAATTAATGTACTTGAAATTACTATTCCAGTAAATATTATAATTTTACATTTCTAATTATTTCTACAAGTTACAGAATGTTGTATAAGAGTGCTAACAATCAATAAATAAGTAATTCATATGCAAGTTTAATATTTTAATTATTTATCATTAATTTAACTTATTAAATAGGTTTGTAATTTAATATGAATCTTATATTTAAATACATACATCGAAAAAGCCCCTTGAGCTTCTTTGTCAGGAATGTTAGGCCCAATACATGTAGGTAAACTGTATGCATTTGGACCAGGCCCAGTGTCACTAATTTTTAGTCCACTTCTTGATTTAATTGTATAAGCAGGAGCCCTAGTATCATGGTTCATTGGTGGGCACAGTTCTGGATAATGTGCTCCTGGTCCAGGTCCTAAATCTCTTACTATAAAAAAATATTACCTTACACAATAAACACATACTTTATTCAAATTACGAAATACCTTTGATTAAATTATACAAATTATTTTTCTATATTTTTGAAAACATAAATTATTCTGTATATTTTATTTAAATCAGGATTGCCCAAGTGGAGAAAAATAAAACCTTAAAACATGTGTTGCACTGTTCTTTTCAACTTCTTTTTGTAAAATAATAATAATTCCACTATCTTCTCTTCCTTGCTTAGAGAGATTAAGTTAAAAAGCAGCATTGGAAACAAGAGTAAAACACATATTTTTAAATTTGCCTTTCCATACATGAACAGATCTGGTTTAAACTGAAGTAAATTAATTGTCTCCATTGAAAGAATTGGAGTTAGTACACAAAATTTTAAATGAAAAACAAAATATATTTAATTTGAAAATATAATTTTAATTAATGAAGCATATTTTATTTGTCTGTGAAATGTATCAGACCAAACATACTCACATCTATAAGGTTCTCGAAAAGCCATTGAGTATGCTGGTGGATTATCTGGTCCATAATTTGTCCATCTTGAAACATTGTATTGTGGGCCTGGTCCAATATGTTCTATGTGAAACTGTGTAAAAGGTCGTATAGTATATGCTGGACCTCTTGTTCGAGAGGGACAATGATCTTCATATCCGACTAAGGTCCGTAATTTATATATAGGACCAGGACCTATGTAGGTGTATAAAACACATTACGTAACTTAAATATATTGAAAATTGTATAATTGATTAATACTAATCGTTTTAGTATTAAGGAATATTGGTTACTGCTATTTGAAATTAATGACATTACTACACGAAATTTAATACTCTTCATACTTTATGTTTACTACTTTAAATTTATAGAATTATGTAATTAAAATGAATATTATAATATTTTTTAATGAACATAAATTCATTATGAACTACATGAATTATTAATTGAAAAGATATTGTTTAAGCCTATTGTAACAAAATGAATCAATAATTTAATTTCTACAAATGAAACTTTACCCTTTAGCATACAGCTTAACACCTTTGGTTCGTTTTCTTTATTATCCATATTTTGTCACATAAAATATTTGTGTAAAAAAAATTAAAAATGTTATCAAAAAGAAGATTAAAAATAATTAACAGTCTGAAACTATATAAAATAAGACACATGTAAACTATGTTCAGAGTATTTGAAATATTATTTGAACATTATCTTTATTAAAAGTAAAGTTTATTTAAATTTGTAATATATTAAAATTAACTGCAAATAGATTATGCTTCATAATATAATCATAAGATTAATGTGTTTACTAAGCATTTAGAAATATTGAAATAAAATCTTTTTACAAACAATAAAATATAACTAAAATAACAAAAGAAATGGAAGATTTTAAAATATAATAAATATATTATTTATATCTTCCACTCTGCTATACATTGAAGACTATGCAAAAGCAAGCATTTTTTTCTTGTAAAAACTTTTATGTTTATGAACACAATATCATTGATTATTTAATAGTAACATTTGTTCTTTTGAATTAAAAGTAAACTGCATAAAAATAATTATTATATATTAACTTTAATAATTAATGCAAGAATGTATGATTAAAGTAAAAATGAAAAAAAATTAATTTTCTTTAATTAAGAATATTTTCTATTTATTAATTACAAACTAATAATATAGTAATCATTTTTAACAGTATTGTTTATTAATACAAAATTAAATATTAAGGTGATTTATAAAAGATAGTCTTTGTTGTTAGAATTAATATTGGCGTAATGCACCACGTCTAATTGCTGGCTGTCTATTTGGCGGCGTAATAGATATATCTAGATAATCACCAATTGTAAACCTATAATTATATAAATATGAAATTATCCAGTTATATTAAACTTAAGCTTATGTACTACAAAATTCATACCTTGCTTGTGCAAGCGTTTTATTATCATCAGCACCCTTCTGTCCTGAACAGGTAACACCAATTTCACGCATGCGATATCCAGAATTACGCAATTCTGGTGTTACTAATGAGAAATCAAAGTATGTTCCTTTACTTCTAGCATCTGGATTTACTTCTTTAACTAATCCTGTAATTTCTCTTAAAGTTGCATCCATCCTGCAAATAAAAAGAAGTAAGCACTAGGACTAATATTTGTAAATGTACATAATTCTAAAATTTATCAGTTTAATGTGAAATAAATATTAGTGAAAACTTTTACCAAGTATATATTTGTAACTCATTTGAAGGTACATTTCCTCTACTATATTCCATTATATTATGATGTCGTCCTGTATTGCAAAATACTCGCAATAATAGTGGACATGTCTGAAGAATGAATATTAGTAAAATCAGTATAATCTTAATATAAAATTAATGATCGTACAAAAATGCCGGAGCGTTTTGAAAACGCTACAAATTATTCATCGATATTTCTCGATTCTACTATCACCACTTACTTTTTCTCTGTCTATTGGTTTTTCTGGTAATTGCTTTTCATCTACTACCATAGATTCTATCGCAGAAGTCATATTTAAAAGTACTACTGAGAACTGTAAATATTAAAATACAATAGCGTCGTTTGTATTTATATTTGTAAACAAAATTTACGTATTCCTCCTGAATTATCAGTAACACACACGTCCATTGAAGCACTTATTGTATACCTATTCCCATGCCATTGCCGGCAGCGCGCTCTATTATGAAGACAGGAAACTATGTATAAATGAAATTGTGCAATTTGATTTTAAATAAATATTTATATTTGGTATTTACATGCATATTGTTCTTCGAGCATAATAAAGTCAAAAAAATAATCTCACGGTGAGCTTGAAATTTTATATTTGCAAATTTTTAAGATAGACATCAAAATGTTTAGCCACCTACCGATAGACAGTAGAAATTGAAGAAAGTAAATTTTACATATCTTACCTTATGAATTTGACCTCAACCTTTCCGATTTATTGAATTGTAAAATGTTTCAAACAGCAGTATTAATTTAGAATATTTTATATGTAAATGAAAAGTAATAAATAAAAAATATAATTTTAAAAATTTAATTCTCTAATACCACCTTTACCGCTAGATGGCTATGCATTTTTGTGCCCATAAAATTTATGAAATTTTAAACATTAAACATTTAAAGTAATTTAAGTTAATTTAAACATTAAATTAAACAAATTGGTAACATCGGTACTTTTGTTATGAATGTAAAATTTAATGTAAAATTTAATGTCATTTATAAAAACATTAATCGTGTTCTATTTAGTTTATAGAATAATTTTTTTTCAACATAAAGTGTTAAGTGAAAGCTCGTATTTAAAAGTAACCATGTATTTGCGAGAATTTTATTAAGTGTCGATACAATCTTTTTCATTCCATTGCCATCTATAGAAGTAATTTCAAAAGCCTAATGTCAATAATAAGCACGTTGATTGATGTTGATGTTAATTTTCATTTTACTTGATACAGGACATGTGCCTTAGTTTCGTTTGTTGTCGACCGCTTCTGTTGACATCGAAAAGCATTGTGGAAACTGTGAATGTAAATGAAGTTATAATATTAGATTACTAATCTCATTTATATTTGAAAATCAGAGGAGAAAGATTATGTGTTTATATCATAAACAGTACTGATTACAATGTAAATACTACTGTATGCTTCATAAAAAGTTACAACATTCTTCACAATTTTTTAATAACTTTCATATACGTGTAAGTTTGTTCGATAAAATATTAGGTTGGAGACTATGAAACGGGCGTTTTTTGTTTAGTCTGTGTTCTTTGAATTGTTTATTAACTCTAAAAATAAAGATTTTTTTCAAAAAGGCATATATGATTTGCCCAATCGTTGGCAAAAAGTCGTAGATGCCAATAGAAATTATTTCAATTGAATATAATAAATAATGTGAAAAATTGCGCTTTTCATTTTTTATCTTCATTCAACGCCCGTTTCATAGTTTCCAACCTAATACTATCATCCATGAAAAATTGTGTAAAGCACTAATATACAAATATGAAGAAGGTGAAAACATCTGAGGAAATATTGGTCATGATATGGAGGTAAATATTTGTTATATATAATCAAATTTTGATTTTTATTATATACAGAAGAATAATACATAAAATATAAGACCTAAAATAAAAATAATATTAATATTTTTAATTTATTATAAATTTTTATATTTATTCTTATGAGATCATGTAGTTTAATTTGGGATAAAGATTAACGATATGAAAATTGCAATTTAGTATCAAAAACAATATTAATTTGTAGTGTTTATATGAGTTGAGGGATGAATAGGTATATGGATGGATGAGTTTCTTAAATTATATAAAAGTTGTAACGTTTGTAAACGAAATGTTAATTTTTGATCCATATTTAAACTTCGAACTGATGGAAGTAGCGAATAAAAGAATGCTAAATCTTCATCTTCTTGAAGTGGATTTTTTATCGTTTTGTGAGCATCTATAAAATCCATTGATGCACCATCAGTATCAGATCTTTTCCGTTTTGCTGTAGTTATAACATTAATTGTTGGAGGAGTAACTATTTCATCACTTATATCAGGAGCAATATCTTCTTTCTTAATTTCATCTATATTCCATGTTCTATCGTAGTCTATTTCATTTGTACTGTTTTCAAGATTAGATTCATTAATTCGTAATTCTATACTTCTTTTTAAAAAAGATAATTGATCAGCATAGGTATAAGGTCGTATCCTTTTATAACCATTTTCAGAATTCGATTTTTGGGCTTGTTTCTTTAAGCTTCGTACATAATTATCTCGGATTGCTCTCCATTTTGACATTGTATCTTGTACTGAAACAGTATTCATTATATCAATAACATTTATACAATATGGTGGTAAAAAGGTTTTAAATTTTAAAGTGATTGATAAGTAATTAACCCTTAACTACCATGACTTAGAAATGTATATAATGTACTTCATATTGGTTTTTAATGTATAAGTAGGATTTTGTTATTTTTATCTTCACATATGTTAAGGCAGTTCCTATATCAAAGAATAATAAGTTGATATTTTAATAGCACAAATGGTTTTGAATAGAGAAAATCTAGATTTGACTTTGACAAGATCAAATCTGATCTTTTTATGCTATGTAAGAGTTACAATGGAAGTTCGGTACTAGATTGTAATTATTGTTTTACATATGTTGTATTGCATACAGTTTGAATGATTACTACAATTATAGAATTGATAGACTGCTTTTAATAAAATAGTGTAAGTAGTGCACCAAACTATCTGAAACATGATAAAAGAGATTTGTATCTCTGTACTTATAAAAATGTACAAGTAGAGATAGTCAAAGGATTTGGTAATAGTTTCAATGAAATTTTAACTGTTTATGTTATTGAGGACACATTTGAAATGACTGAAGTTAAATTTGTTTCACAAAATTTTAACTAATTATGAATGATAGAGGAAAAATTATATTGACAAGCATATATGATCAATTTTAATATATTAACAAATATACATCTTACGTTTTAAATTATAATTCCCTTCATTAATGTTTATGTCAACAAGGATTTACTAACTTGTTTATTATATTAATTGAATGTATTTCAAATATCACTTACTAATTAATTTTTGCTGTGCTTCATCTTTTGCTTCAAAATTTTGTATCAGATAACAACAGACTTCAACCCAAGCTGCATTTTTTTTATGCTTATCTTTATATTCTTCAATCGAGGTATCCCATATTATGGGTTTTCTTTCTATTATACTAATTAACAATTCAGGGTCTATATTTTTGGACATTCCTTTTTAATTTCTTAACGATACATTTACTTATCGAGAAGTGGACGTATGTACAATTTACAATACTCGATTGTGTATAATGCTGATTGTGCGTCGAAATATTTTAACGCGCGTTTCGAGGCATAGGGCATACGAACATTTAGGTTGGAATACACCAGCGTCTAAATGACGTCCGTTGTGGCGGACGT